CTCGTGCAGGCCGAAACGGGCTTCGCGGCGGCGGGGCTGCCGGCGCTCGCGCTCGGGTGCGGGCGCCGCGCGCTGGGCCTCCTCCGCGGGATGGGGGAACACCCCGAGCAGGGCGGGGGGTGGCTGGAGCTCTGGGAGTTCGCCCTCACCACCACCTCCGGCCTGTACTTCCGCGTGGGGGATTCGATGAACGGCGTGGTGTTGGCCGGTCTCGCGGTCGCCCGAGGGACGCCGCGCTACGCCGACCGCGAGACCGGCCTGCCGCGGGTGATGGAGTTCTGGGAGCGGCAGCGCGGCGTCCTGGCGCGCTTGGGGTATGCGGAGTGCCCGCATATGATCCTCCCGGACCTCCTCCGCGGGTCTGTTCGGGTCGAGCTCGACGCCTACCACGAGGACGACGCCACCCGCGCCCAAACCCGCCTCGTCGGGGCGGCCGCCGCGGAGAGCGAGTGGCGCGTGATGACGACCCTCGCCCAGAACTTCTACGCCACTCATCCCGCCCGGGCGGAGGCCGCGGCCGGCCGCTTCCCGCGCCCCCACGCCAAGCCGGGGGCCATCTTCCCGCCCGCCGGGGGCCATCCGCGGCGGGACTTCACCGCCTCGCTGGGGGAGCCGGTCTGGCTCTCCTTCGCGATGCGAAACCCCGTCGGGGGGGAGCTGCGGGTGTCGAAGTTGGCCATTGTTTACCGCCCCGCGGCCCACCCCGGGCGACCTCTCAAAACCCCCGAGACGAAGGCCCTGACGTTGGAGGCCGGGGCCACCGAGACGGTCGCCCTCGCTTTCACCCCAGAAGCCCCAGGGGAGTATGTCCTTCTCGGGCTTGCCTGGGAGTTGCTGGAGCAGGAGGGGTTTTACTACTTCGCGACCCCCCCTGGTGGGGTTGCGGCGCTCTACGACCACGCCATCGCCCTCCACGCCCTACTGCAGGGCGGGGGGAGCATCGCGGGGCCGAATCCCGCGCTTTGGCCGACCCCCATCGCGGTGACGGTGACCCCGCCGCGGGCGTGGCTTCGCGCGGCGCTCCGCCCCCCGCTGCCCCCGCGGCTTCGCGACGGGGAGTACTTCCGGGCCCGGCTGTGCATCGAAAACCGCAGCCCCCACGGCGCGGCCCGCGGGATCGCCCTTCAGCGCAGCCCCCCGAACGCGCATTTGCTCTGGATCGAGCCCGCCGGCCTGGCGGCGAACTTGGCGGACGAGACGCCGCTTTGGATCGCGGATCGCCTCGCGCCGGGCGGGGAGATCGCCCTCGAGGTGGTCTTCCGCGCGCAGCACGGCGGCGGGGATGGGGCGCGGCGCTGCCTCAACCACCTCTTTCTGCTCCTGACGTATTGGTCGGCCCCTGCCGGGGAAAGCGACCCCCTGGCCCTTCGGACGACCCCGGGAAGCGACGCGGAGGCCGCGCCGTCCCAAAGACCGCCGAGGGCCGACCAGGCGGGGATCCGCCAACATCGGTTCCTGCGCGGGGTCGAGGTGGCCCCGGGGATGGCGGTGTATTCGACGCTTTTGCCCCCCGCCGACCCCGGCCTCGCCTTCGCGGCGGCCGTGACGCTGAAGAACATCGCCCGCGGCGGCCCCCCGCTGCGTCTCGCGCGGATC